TTTGTATGTTTCTGTAACGTCAAATGTGTTAGTTTGCTAGTTGTATGTTGTTAACAGAAATGTTTATGTAATGTCAATAGTGTTTGTATGTTTCTGTAATGTCACATGTGTTAGCTCTTTAGTTGTATGCTGTTAACAAAAATATTTCTGTAATATCAAATGTGTTAGTTTGATTGTTGTATGTTGTGAACAAAGATATTTTTGTAGTATCAATTGTGTTAGTTCTCTAGTTTTATGTCGTTAACAAAGATGTTTCTTTCTTCGTTTTCTAGTGGTATGTTATTATTAATTAGAATATACACTAAACGACTAGCAACCTGTTGAGATCTAAGGTAAACAACATCGGCCATGTTTCTTACATTTATCTGTAACTAAGCACAGTGGCGTAGCGAGGTCGGGTGTCACCCGGTGCGGCACTTAATGATGTCACCCCCAGAGGCGTAGCGACCCTTCCCGGGGACAAACTTTCACATTTTCGATTTGCATCCCCCCCCCCCATGCTTTCGATTTGCACCCCCTCAAGTATTTTGCTATTTTTTGCCTTGGTGTCACCCCCCTAAATGGTGTCACCCGGTGCGGTCCGCACCCCTCGCACCCCCTCGCTCCGCCTCTAACTAAGGATTATATATGGATAGTATTTATTTTGCAACCCTATTACGGTGCATAAAAAGGCCTACTGTCTCTGCACTAGTGAAATTGATCGACTTTTCAATCAGTGAGATAGTATAACAAAAGTATTCCGGACGAGATTGTCGTAAGTTTCAAGTTTCAATGTCGATTTGTATAATAATTAAGTAGCTCATTAATTATTCCGTAACATCAGAACCTACATAGATATCTTTACCTAAATCCGACCAAGCTTAACTTGTAGCGTCGCATCGCATATGACCACAAGACTTCACGCACACTTCACTGTAGCGGAGATGTTTGATGGATAACGACATAATGTATTACTATACTATAGTCGTCTTCTTTGCTTCTAATATAAACAACCTTGTAGAATCTAAGTCTTTAGTGAATGCTGCACTCCTCAAGCCTGCATACCAGGATTCCACGTACGACGGTAATGCCTTGGCCAGTAATGGAAATGACGGCAACCGAATGCAAAATCCAGTGACATTTGGTTGTACCCACACGAAAGATGACGAACAACCCGGCTGGTGGCTTGTTGACCTACAGGGGTGGTACCTGGTCGACCACATTATTTTCACGAACAGGTAAGAGATACCTACATTTCCCCCTATATATATATATATATATATATATATATATATATATATATATATATATATATATATATATATATATATATATATATATATATGTGTATATATATATATATATATATAGGTCAACATAGGCGATGTTTGTGCATAGGCCTATACACACGTATCTATCTGTTATATATATATATATATATATATATATATATATATATATATATATATATATATATAAGGCAAGACAACCATGATAACTACGAAACGTTTCCTATGTTAGAATAGTTACAAAAAAATTACTGTAATGAAAATCTTTGGCAGTTAAGAACATTTAAGTTTTATATCTATTATCTAGATTGGATTTTAACGCCTACCGATTGGAAAAGTTTACGATCGATGTATTTAGAACAGACCCGCGCTTGATGCCAGGGTTCCCGTTGGTGTCTGGTGACGTATGCTACCAGCAAGGTGAACCTCTAGGGCCTGAGACTTTTGTCTGGAACTGTACAACTCCAGTTTTGGGGAAGTTTCTTAGACTTATAAGGTATATTTAATTCGACAATGTAAATTTTTAAAAAAACATTAAATTCAATTTAACAACGCATACATTCATATATAATAAAGAATAGAACACGTTCCACCATGGAAGGTGTAGTTTGACAAATGATTATGATGAGGTATTTATGCCCAGGTATTGTTTGAACCAATTTCATTTCCAATTAAATCTTAGGTACACACTAAACGTGCTTCATTTTTGTGAACTTGAGGCAATGTCGACGTACATGGACCCCTTGGAAGCGGACTACAGAGCGTACGACGACACGGTACTCAGTCTGTCTCCCATTGTCACAATCACTACAGAAACACCGACGTTCTGCGCCCTCGACTGTCTGAGGGTCAGGGACACTCGGATTTGTCTGGCCTTCAACTGGTTCCAGTCCACGGGGCTCTGTCAGTTGTTGGACTTTAACCCCAGTAACACAAGTCTGGTGGCAAGGCTTGTTGGTCAAGTGGGGGCTAGGCTTTATGTGGTTCAACCTGTAAAGATCTTCGGGTAAAATCGATGGAAAAAGAAACTGAGATTTTTTTTTAAATTCTTGATGTATTTGTAAATCGTTTTAAAATTCTTCAGATACAGCATCTTTTACTAAACGCTTTATAATTTTCAAAAATTTCTTTTTAGATTTAAAAACACGTATGTATTAACGCTACATTATTTCAGATAGACTTCTGCTATGTAAGAGTGGTAGTTAGTCTCTTGCTCTCATAAGACGTAATGCCAACAAGAACCTTGCGCCCATTCAGAACATTGTAAGCCAAAAATAGCCATCAACAAGACAAAGTATGGCTCTATAGTTAATAGAACTTTGAATGTTTGCGCATTGGAAATCCAAGCAACAGCCTGGGTCCTAAGTTAAGAAGATGTTGCCGATGCATCAGACCCCCTTCTCTCTTCAAGCTGATTGACCTAAAGAGCCGGACGTTACCTGTACAGTTTTGAAGCAGCTGAGTCGCAGAAGCTGCCGAAAGAAGCCCGGAGTTTGTGATCCAATCAACTATTAGATTTCAGAGCCACCTCCACTGGATGTGTTGCTTTCCAAAGCTGACGAGCCTCATCTGACCGGGGGTTAAAACTTGAAGACAATCGGGTCAGCAACCGAGTGCTTACCCCCCCCCCCCCCACCCCCTCGACCATTCGGTCAATAGGACCTACGTCGTTAATAAAAGTCAACATGCCACTGACAAAAGCCTTCCCAGCATATTTTTTATTCCCTAACTCTCACCAGTCGTAACACTTTATTGTTGTGTCAAATTTTTCTTATACTTCTACTTACTTCAGGGAAACGAATGCCCTGTCTTATTATTGGTCTTGACATGATATGTCTCACTTAATTCATACATATTTATATTAATATTTGTATCATACCATGCACTTCGTACCTGATATCAACATTTAATGCTTCACCTGTGTTATAATTTCATTTTGAATTTACTATTCCTTTCACTTTGGTATATAAATTAATTACATTGTGGATAACACTCACATTTGAAATGTCATTATGTTTGCTGTGTTTTAGTAAAGGAAACTATATTTTTGTCTAGTTTTAAGTGTAAATAATAAAGCAAAAAAAAAACAATGTGTACTTATTTCATTCAACTTAGTTTGTTGAATTATTTTGTTTGCAAATCATTCTATTTTTTTATTCTTTTTTTTTTTTTGTTTACCATTTTATAAGTGCAAAAGTAAAGATTAAGTCACTGTATTTGGTATAATAATTGTTTTATATATTTGATGATTGTTTTTATTTACTTAGATATAATAAACGTTTAATTTACTCGATAATCTTTGTAGTTGATTTTATATTACGTCACGGTGGCAAAGTATAAAATTAAAAACGTCTTATTGTGAATCGTATGTACAGACGAAAGCATGACCTACATAAGGTTGGGTCTACAAGCATGCATGCTATTTCTCTATCCAAACAATGTGTATGTCAATGTGTGTATGTGTGAGTGTGTGTTTGAGTATGTGTGAGTGTGTATGTGTCTGTTTGTGTGATTGAAAACGCAAACAAACAGTTGTAAACCAGACAAATGTTAACACTGGAAATGTGTCTGTGTCTGTGTGTATAAGTGTGCGTGTGTGGGTGCGTGTGTTTGGATACAATACAAATAGTTCTTAATCAGACAAATGTTAACACTAGACAATGTGTCTGCACCACTGAGTTCAAGCTGCCAGTGAATCTTATAATTCTTTAAGTAGTAAATCCATCTTATTGGCTAGATTTGTTTCCTTTGGACTCGGGGTTGAAAGGTTTTATAGTGGGCAGACCGTGACGTTTGCAAACCACGACGGTGACATTGTGCACCGACAATATGTCTCGATTCATTGGACATAATAAATATGTATTCGTTGAATATTCGACGATATTCGTGTGGTTTACAGAAACGAATTAAATGTTTTTAGCCTCGCTGTGTAAAGTTTTGCGTAGACCATGAATTCGATTTTTGAAAAAATATATGTTAAACAGTGTTCAGTTCTCTGTATTGTGTTGTATGCTACAAATTGTAGCTTAGTGTATACTATTTTAATAGTTACTGAAGGTGATTTCGAGAATACGTTTATACTGAGGCTACTTTCGGGGTGGTTAATATAGTGATTGTAATGTAGTGAAGACAGATTCCGAAAACCGGAATTTTTATTCCAGAAAGAAGACTATTGGTTGTTAATTTGGGCTTGTCTGTTCTCCTATTCCTACTTGTCATAAAATAGTTAAAGCAATGTTGAGCTAACAACAGAATCGGTTTGAAGAGTTGTTGTTTGCGTAAAGTTAGAGAGGGGATAGGAAGGATGGTGTGTTGTTGGTGGTTACTTGTGGAGTTGTAGAAATTTTACATTGTTGGAGGCCGGTGGTTGAGGATGTGGGTGTTGGTGTATATGGGTAAATTTTCGGGTATTAATTTCCACCGATTTATAAAAAGAGAATACTAGCGTTTACTAGTAAATTAGTAATCGTTTTGTGATATTTTTATCAATATATTAAACACTGGCTGGTTTAAACACTGAAAGCATTACTGATAGAGAGGTTTTTATTAAAATCTAGAAAGATATAACTCTATATTAAAGCAGCAATACTAGAAGAGATCTTACACTAAATTAGCACCACCAGAAATACCTAAATATATAAAAAGCATTAATGCTAGAGAGATCTAACCATTAATGTACCTTCCGCACCACAAGCCTTGCTGGTTGATCTGGTGAAGCAGACAAGTTTTAAGATGGTGCAGGAACAAAACCGGATGATGCTGCCCATCAATGTAGAGTACAGTGACGTCAGCCATCTGTCCTGCGCCTCCCGATGTACGACCTCCAACAAAATGTGCTACTCCTACATCTACGACGGACCTACACGACATTGTAGTCTGGGTGAGTGGATCATTTTATGTAGGACATTTTATATAGGATATTTTGCATAGGAGATTTTACGAAGGGCATTTTATATAGAAAATATTACATTTTACATAGGGCAGTGTACATAGGACGTTTCACATGTGACATTTTATATAGGACATTTTATATAGGACATTTAATATAGAACATCTTATATAGAACATTTTATATAGAACATTTCTCACAGGACATATTATATAGGACAGTTTACATAAGGAATTTTACAGAGGACTTATTAAAAATAACTTTCACATTTGACATCACGGAATATCAAGAACTGTGTAACTCAAATGACACTGTATCCACTAAAATACACTACCGACAAACTTTTTCTAACAAGAAAATGTTTGTCTTCATGTCCTTAACCTCTAAGAGTACGACACTACAGACAGAGTTACAGATACTACCTGCTATAAGAATTAATTCGATCACTACTTAACGATTCAGTTAAATGTACAAGTATGTTTACCGAAATTGTTTTAAAAGGTTCCTGGCTGGTCCTCAAAACACCATCAGACGCGGACGTTCAAGGAAAGATGTACACGCCTGGTAAGTTCTGTAATACAACCAGAAATATGACATTCCTGTATGATGGCAGAATCTTCTCGAAAGAGTTGTTCTTTTGTTCAGGTGATCTCTAGATTCAGTCGCGTTTATTACGTCCATTTAATTTTCTAATGTTCATAAGTCTATTAGGTCAAGATTCCACGGGTTAATAGTTCACGTTTTTGTGCATTTTACGTGTGTCTGCTGTGTTCGTGTGTTTGTGTGTCTGTGTGTACGTGACGGCGAATTTGTTGCTTTGTCTCTGTGTCTGTCAGTGTGTATGTGTATATATGTTGCTGTATGTCAACGTGAGTGTATGTATTTGTGTCTGTTGTCTGCCTGATGTTTTTTTTTTGTGTATCTGTTTGTATGTGTGTCGACGTGACTGTGTGTCTGTTGTCTGTGTGATCGTGTGTAAGAATGTTAATGAAACACACCTATCTTATCATTTGGGTTGTTTCCTAGATGTTTACAACACTCATAGCCTAATTATACAGTATTTCAGTGAGTTTTTGCCAACTAAAGACAGACCTGGTAATAGACAGTAATAAAGCTATGTCGTACATGACTCGATTATTGTCCTAGGCTATATGTTTATTAATTCTAATCTTATAAACTTAAATACTTGCAGATGCATTATATTGCACTACGTTTCTTTTTTTTTAACTTACTAAATCCAACGACATAACTTCTATATAATAGAATATGATAGGTGAATAGGTAAAGATAAACACATTAAAGCGCAGTTAATTACGACACAAATGCAACTCAATAATAAAGGTTTATATTAAAGGTCTCTATTGTGATTTGCTTGAGGTCAGATATATCATTTATGTTAGTCACACTATCTACAAATTCAGATACAATTGGTTCTCGTGTTTAAAAACTACACAAGAAGTGGAAGAAAATGCCATCACTGTTTTGATTTTCACTGAACATCTATCCTTCCCCCCACCCCCACCCCGTCTTCAACAGTGCACGAGTCTTGTAAAGATGTCTTGAGCCCCGAGTCTAGACCTGTCGCTATGGTCACACCTGGATGTCTGGTCATGTGTGACACAGTGATGGACGGTGGAGGATGGACCATTTTCCAAAGACGTGTTTCTGGAACTGTCGACTTTTACCGGAACTGGGCAGAGTACAAAAACGGCTTTGGGAATTTTATTTCGGGTAATTTTTACCTGGGTAACGAAAACATGTATTTGATTACGTCAAAGACACAACACGAGCTTCGAGTTGATTTGACATTAGATGGCGTTAATTATTTCGCCAAGTACTCCAACTTCAGCATCACTAGCGAGGCTGACGGCTACAGGCTACAGGTGTCCGGGTACTCCGGCACGGCGGGTGACGGTCTTGTCTACCACAACCTGATGAAGTTCACCACGTACGACCAGGACAATGACATAGACACCCGCAACTGTGCCTATGCTTTCCACGGCGCCTGGTGGTACAAGTATTGCTACGAATCCAACCTAAACGGAGACTGGAACTCTCCTACTACTACAGGTGTCGTCTGGAATGGCATTTTCCGTCCTGCACTCGTCGAAATGAAATTTAGATCTTTTTAAAAGAGTCTAAGGTTTAATCCATAATAAAAGTCAGTATTTTGCCCCTCCCCCCCCCCCCTCAATCCAATCTTCAAAACAAAAGCCAAAACCATATCCTGCTTCTCAGTCAACCACTGAGTTCGATCAACATTGAGCCTCAGAGATATTTTAATAAAAAAATTAACATAAACGCGAAATTACGGCTAAAATTAATTTTTCCAGCTTTAGTTTTGAGGATATCAAATGCGTCGTCACATTCTAACCAAACTTCTCCTCACATGTATTCACTAAAGCCTAGGTCCTCTCCTCCCCCCACCCCCAACGTAGCGAAACGTCGTTTATGGAAATGAACCCTATAAGTACATATACTGAATGTAGTATACGGTTTTTATTTTAACAAGTAACATTCTTAATTTCACATTTAATTGTTTTTAAAATCAATTCTTCTTGTATTAAACTCGTTATGTTAATCTCACATTGTATGTATTTTATGTATTTTATCTATTACAATGATAATAAAAACAAGTACGGGCCAATAGTTTCAATTTTTTCACTTTGATACTTGCATATTACGTCAGTTAACTGCATTTATATAAAGTCATATAATAACTATTTTGTAATATTTTATTTTCACTAACACTACTTGGAACATATCATGGATGAGAATACTTCAGCTCATACTTCAAACATATCTAAAAAGCCGGTTTTATATATGTGTATATATATATATATATATATATATATATATATATATATATATATATATATATATATATATATATATATATATATATATATATATATATATATGTATGTATGTATATATATATATTGACCATGAATTTTCCTTTCTACCTTCGATCTATTTCCATTAGCCTAATAGACCGAAACCTGATTAATGTATTTACATTTAAGATAGATTTATTCAAAAAATTCATTTTTACTTACGATTTTTTTTCTATTATGCTAGCTGGAGCTGGCGTGTGTATACACGGAGTCAGGTCCGTTTATCTGTGCGCTGCTTTATGCCACTAATGTAATCTTTGGGAAAAGAATAACTGTCTTATTCAGCCAGAGTGATTAGGAGAACTTGGGAAATCACTTTGAACCAATGTTGTTAGTGGGTTACCGGTAATAAATTTTTACTTTCTCGTATATACGAAGTATAGAGAAAGTCTTGTATTCATGCAAAAAAAAAAATCCTGAAACTGAAAAACATAGTTTTGCAATCTTGTCCGTATGTATGTGTGTGTGTGTATGTGTGTGTGTGTCTGTAAACACGATAACTTGGGTACTGTTACAGCTGTTTGATGAAATTTCATTTGCAAATGTTATATCAAAATCGTAGATCCGAATGTGATAAGAGTTGTATCATGCATATTTTATTTGCCACCCCCCTCCTTCCTACAAACAAGTACTATATTAATTGTTTGTAAATTATATTGTTTTTCTACTAGCTCTAATAGTCATTCATTTATAAACGGCTATTTTGGACACGCCAAATATCACCATATTAATTTATTGTTAAATATAGTTATTTTCAGCTCAAAATAACAATATTAATGTATATCAACTTACGTTTTCCTATTAGCCGAAGATCATTTAAATATTGTCACTTTAACTAGGTCAACAACACGCGTCATGTCCTGTCATCACTTTCACTAGGTCAATAACAGATGTCCTGTCAACTATTGTCTGACCTTCAGAGAATGGAAAGAGAGGGAGGGATCCACGAAGTTTTGAGGACATGACAACAAACGCGTTGAATCTTTAACAACCTCCCAATTGTATCGTACATCAAAATCTATTCACGTTATTCAGCTTGTCAGCGAGTGACTGTCCGTTTGATTTAGCTACTTCGTGAAGTTCAATGCAAGAAACAATTGTCCAAGCTAACACTAGCGATTGTCGTGTGTTGAACAAAAGCTTATTTTGTTTTGTTAGTGCCGTAAACAAAACAAACAGCCAACTTGCGTAACGAAAAAAAGCAAGCAACATTGATTTTGTAATTTAATTAATACATAATTAATGAATCTTTACGTGACGCCTGTGAAAACAAAATGCTATTATATACTAACAACCTTTCTTAAAAATAAAAAGAAAACATAATATGTTTGATTGTATTTGGGAAGGGTTAGACTATTATATAAAGTAAATAGTTATAGCTCGGATTTTCTTTTACGTTTGTCAAAATGGTGGAAAACATGCTCGTTGGTAAAAGTAAAGGCTATCTTTTTAAATAACGATAACAACAAACTTACTGAGCGAGACTATCTTTTGTTCCAACGTATGCTAAGTCAGTTGTGATAATTGACTACTTGTATCTCGTTATTAAAGATGTTTCTGTAGTGCCAATTGTGTTAGTTTGGTAGTTGTATGTTGTTAACAAAAATGTTTATATAATGTCATTATTGTTTGTATGTTTCTGTAACGTCAGATGTGTTAGTTTGCTAGCTGTAAGTTGTTAACACAAATGTTTATGTAATGTCAATAGTGTTTGCATGTTTCTTAAATTTCAAATGTGTTAACATGTATCTGTTATGTCAAATGTCAAATGGGTTAGCTCGTTAGTTGTATGTTGTTTCTGTAATGTCAAATGTGTTTACATATATCTGTAATGTCAAAAGTCAAATGTGTTAGCTTGTTAGTTGAATGTTGTTAACAAAAATGTTTATGTAATGTGAATAGTGTGTGTATGTTTATATAATGTCAAATGTGTTACCTCGTTAGTTGTATGCTATTAACAAAATTGTTTCTGTAAGGTCAATTGTGTTAGATTGCTAGTTGAATATTGTTAACAAAGATGTTTATTTGTTCGTTTGCTAGTTGTATGTTATTATTAACTAGAATATACACTAAACGACTAGTAACTTATTGAGATCTAAGGCAAACATCGGCCATAATTCCCATATTCATCTGTAACTAAGCATTATATATGGATCGTATTTATTCTGCAATAATATTACGGTGCATAAAAAGGCCTTTTATCTCTGCACTAGTGAAATTGATCGACTTTTCAATCAGTGAGATAGTATAACAAAAGTATTCCGGACGAGATTGTCGTAAGTTTCAAGTTTCAATGTCGCATTTGTGTAATAATTAAGTAGCTCATTAATTATTCCGAAACATCAGAACCTACATAGATATCCGACCAAGCTTAACTTAGTAGCGTCGCATCGTACATGACCACATCACTTCACGCACATTTCACTGTAGCGGAGATGTTTGATGGATAACGACATAATGTATTACTTTATCATAGTCGTCTTCATTACCTCAAATATAAACAACCTTGTAGAATCTAAATCTTTAGTGAATGCTGCACTTTTCAAGCCTGCATACCAGGATTCCACGTACGAAGGTAATTCCATGGCCAGTAATGGAAACGATGGCAACCGAACGCAAGATCCAGTGACGTATGGTTGTACCCACACTGAGCAACAGAAACCAAGCTGGTGGTTGGTTGACCTCCAGGGGTGGTACCTGGTCGACCACATTATTTTCACGAACAGGTAAGCCATACCTACATTTACCAAGGTTTCCTGGGTTAGAAAGTTTAGAAAAAAAATTACTTTAATGAAAATTGTTAGCAGTTAAGAACATATAGTTTTATTTCTGGCAACTAGACTGGATTATCACGCCTACCGATTGGAAAACTTCACCATCGATGTGTTTAGAACAGACCCGCGTTTGATGCCAGGGTTCCCGTTAGTGTCTGGTGACGTATGCTACCAGCAGGTCAATCCTCTAGGGCCTGGGACTTTTGTCTGGAACTGTACAACTCCAGTGTTGGGGATGTTTCTTAGACTTATAAGGTACATTTAATTCTACAATGTATAAAATAATACAAGATTATATATTGTACTTTTTGAATACAAATATCATAAATTTATATAATAATTTACTTTAAAAACAAGGCACACATTCGTATATAATAAAGAATTGTACATGCTCCGCCATATGTATAAGTCGAAGTTGTTGGTTGACAAATAATTATTATGAGGTATTTATGGCCGGGTTTTGTTTGAACTAATCTCGTTTCGATTATCCAATTAAATCTTAGGTACACACTAGACGTTCTTCATTTCTGTGAACTGGAGGCGATGTCGACGTCCATGGACCCTATGGAAGCGTTCTACACAGGGTACGACGACACGGTACTCAGTCTGTCTCCCGTTGTCACAATCACTACAGAAACACCGGCGTTCTGCGCCCTCAGCTGTCTAGGGGTCAGGGACACTCGGATTTGTCTGGCCTTCAACTGGTTCCAGTCCACGGGGCTCTGTCAGTTGTTGGACTTTAACCCCAGTAACACAAGTCTGGTGGCAAGACTTGCCGGTCAAGTGGGGGCTAGGCTCTACGTGGTTCAGCCTATAAAGATCTTCGGGTAAAATCGATGAAAAAAGAAACAGATTTTTTTTATTTTTTAAATTCTTGATGTATTTGTAAATCGTTTTAAAATTCTTCAGATACAGCATCTTTCACTAAACGCTTTTTAATTTTCAAAAATTTCTGTTTAGATTTATTAACGCTACATTATTTCAGATAGACTTATGCTATGTAAGCGTGGTAGTCAGTCTCTTGCTCTCATAAGACGTAAGCCGCCAACAAGAACCATGCGCCCATTCAGAACATTGTAAGCCAAGAATAGTCATCAATAAGACGAAGTATGGCTCTATAGTTAATAGAACTTTGGATGATTGCGCATTGGAAATCCAAGCAATAGCCTGGGTCCTAAATTAAGAAGATGCTACCTTTTCATCAGACCCCCTTCTCTCTTCAAGCTGATATACCTAGAGAACAAGACGTTACCTGCGCGGTATTGAAGCAGCTGAGTCGCAGAAGCTGCCGAAAGAAGACCGGAGTTTGTGATCCAATCACCTGTTAGATGTCAGAGCCACCTTCCCTGGATGTGTTGCTTTCCAAAGCTGACGAGCCTCATCTGACCGGGAGTTAAAACTCGAGACTATCGGGTCAGCAACCGAGTGCTTACCACCCCCCCCCCTCGACCACTCGGTCAA